TGCTGCTCTTAGAAACATTAGAAAAAGGGACAGAGAGGTTAACATAAAATACAAATGCATTTTCTCTAGTTTTATCTGACATTTCCACTAACATTGTTAACCTTCTTCTGTTTTTTTAAGTAAAATATCTCGCAGAAGCAAAGCAACATCGCTGATTTTACATTTTTATTTAAAAGTGTGGCAAAAATTCACAGAAAGCTTTTGAAAAATAAATCATCCTCTGTTGATGGTAATAAAGCTTCTCTAGGTGCTAATCTGCTCATATTTAAAGATGCAGGCCGACCTTGCTTTCATAAAACACACCACGCTAGGTCAATTGCTGCAGAGCTGTGTTAACGCGCGTCAGAGCTGTGCCTATCCATGGTGTGTCGGGCCAAAACTGAGATGGTGGGATCCTACAAGGCTCCTCCTGCTGGGGGATTGTTCTGAGGGGCACACAGGAGGGGCTGTGATAAGTTCAGCCCCTCTGCCTGTTGAGTATGCAAGCATTCACTGTAGGCATCCATGGTTTGAGTCGCTTACATACAGGTGCTGGCCAGTAAATTAGAATATCATCAAAAGGTTGAAAATATTTCAGTAATTCCATTCAAAACGTGAAACTTGTACATTATATTCATGCAATGCACACAGACCAATGTATTTCCGATGTTTATTACGTTTAATTTTGATATTTATAGGTGACAACCAATGAAAACATCAAATCTGGTATCTCAGAAAATTAGAATATTCTAAAGGCCAATGAAAAAATGTTTGTTTCTCTAATGTTGGCCAACTGAAAAGAATGAACATGAAAAGAATGTGCATGTATAGCACTCAATACTTAGTCGGGGCTCCTTTTGCCTCAATAACTGCAGTAATGCGGCGTGGCATGGACTCGATCAGTCTGTGGCACTGCTCAGGTGTTATGAGAGCCCAGGTTGCTCTGATAGTCGTCTTCAGCTCCTCTGCATTGTTGGGTCTAGCGTATTGCATCCTCCGCTTCACAATACCCCATAGATTTTCTATGGGGTTAAGGTCAGGCGAGTTTGCTGGCCAATCAAGGACAGGGATACCATGGTCCTTGAACCAGGTGCTGGTGGTTTTGGCACTGTGTGCAGGTGCCAAGTCCTGTTGAAAGGTGAAGTCTGCATCCCCATAAAGTTGGTCAGCAGCAGGAAGCATGAAGTGCTCTAAAACTTCCTGGTAGACGGCTGCATTGACCCTGGACCTCAGGAAACAGAGTGGGCCAACACCGGCAGATGACATGGCACCCCACACCATCACTGACGGTGGAAACTTTACACTGGACCTCATGCAACGTGGATTCTGTGCTTCTCCGCTCTTCCTCCAGACTCTGGGTCCTTGATTTCCAAAGGAAATGCAGAACTTGCTTTCATCAGAAAACATAACTTTGGACCACTCAGCATCAGTCCAGTCCTTTTTGTCCTTGGCCCAGGCGAGACGCTTCTTGCGCTGTTTCTTGTTCAAGAGTGGCTTGACACACGGAATGCGACACCTGAATCCCATGTCTTTCATGAGTCTCCTCGTGGTGGTTCTTGAAGCGCTGACTCCAGCTGCAGTCCACTCTTTGTGGATCTCCCCCACATTTTTGAATGGGTTTGTCGTCACAATTCTCTGCAGGGTGCGGTTATCCCTAGAGCTTGTACACTTTTTTCTACCACATATTTTCCGTCCCTTCGCCTGTCTGTTAATGTGCTTGGACACAGAGCTCTGCGAACAGCCAGCTTCTTTAGCAATCACCTTTTGTGTCTTGCCCTCCTTGTGCAAGGTGTCAATGATTGTCTTTTGGACAGCTGTTAAGTCAGAAGTCTTCCCCATGATTGTGGTGCCTTCAAAACAAGACTGAGGGACCTTTTAAAGGCCTTTGCAGGTGTTTTGAGTAAATCAGCTGATTAGAGTGGCAGCAGGTGTCTTCTATATTCAGCCTTTTCAGAATATTCTAATTTTTTGAGATACCAAATTTGGAGTTTTCATTAGTTGTCACTTATGAATATCAAATTTAAATGTAATGAACATTGGAAATACATTGGTCTGTGTGCATTGCATGAATATAATGTACAAGTTTCACGTTTTGAATGGAATTACTGAAATATTTTCAACCTTTTGATGATATTCTAATTTACTGGCCAGCACCTGTAATTACTTTCACGTGTGATTATGTCTGTGTGGACCAAAAGTTTCATATAAAGCGTTCTCATCTTTTGAGTTTTTGAACCAACAAAATACTGCTGTCTCTTCGATCCTCGCTCTCCTGATGTGAAGGTAAACCTCTACTGCTCGTACATGTGTGCACATACATTCCAGGCAGCAAGCTAGCGGCTCCCTGCTGTTAGTTGGCTAGAAGCGGAAGGTGGAATCCCCTCCCGGAGCTTTCTCTGAAGCTGTAGGCAGATGTCTCCCTGCATCTACCCTCATCTCCAGCTCACCTGGGGAACAAAGCTCGGCAGTGAGCCCCATTCCCACCTTCTTCCCTCCAGTTCTGGAGGCTAGACGTGGCAAAGGAGGAGTAAAGATGAGGCTGAGTGCGAAAAACTATGCCAAACTGTGGGCTATTATCACCACGTGTATAACACACACACACACACACACACACACACACACACACACACACACACACACACACACACACACACACACACCTGTCGCATTCAAGCACAATTAGACTCAAATAAATGCATTTTTGTAATGTCTGTCTTACCCCACGGCTGACTCAATGCATGCCCACACAGATAAGTAAAGACCGATTCTGCAGTGTGATGCTTGCTTTACATCATGGTTGCCAGCTGGCTGCATGAACAGCTTCACTGAACCAGTCTGTCTTGATGGCCGTCCATTTTATGTAAGAAAGGGAGAGTGTAAATAAGAATGAGGGGGTCCAGAAGTTATCTTTACTTTTTAGAGTGTTATAATAGTTTAAGAATACCATTAAAATTATTCTTATATCACTTAGAAAACTCATGAGTGACGGTGCTTTGGCCACAACCTGACCAATTCCAGGCTTTGTTCTAAACACCTTTCTCCCCTTCTTCGTCTTTGCTCGTGGTCTCTGGTGTGTACAATCAGAGTTATATTTAAGCGGGCAAACTCAACACCTGATGTCAGCTGAGAGTCAGGGAGGAAGTGGAGAGTGGAGAAAGAATGGCCGGTTATAAATAGCAGAAGTCTCTCCAGGATGGCAGATTTTTAATTAACAATAGAGTGCCTTATAATCCACCGTTAATCCAGAGGAGAAGAGGGAGGAGAGGAGAGAGGAAGAGAAAAATCATCAGCTGTTTGATGTTAGGACTACAAGTCCCTCCTGGCCCTTCCCCTGCTTGCTGCTGAGCTCGTCTGCTCTGTGATATCCATAGCCCAAATGTATTTATTTTGCGAAAGAGCCTTGTTTCATGCTTTGTGATTCACTTTGTTTCTGACTAACTGCTGTCTGTTCTTATTAGCATAAATGTGTGATTGCTGCTCCTTTTTGATGCTTGTGTGTGGCGTGATAGAGGCTGAATGTTGGAAACTGGGGTTCCTGATGGGCGGGGGGGCGTGTCCGCTTTAAAAGCCCTAAGCCTGTTGAAAGTGTTGATCCACTTGGGAAACACAGGCCTGTTCAGCTCTCAAGGGGGCTCGGCTAAAACCCTGAGAAAATGGCTGTTATTTCTTTTTTAATGCAGCTACAAAGCTCTTCAACGTTTTGTTCTTGCTTTAAATTTGATTCCTCACATTTTATAGATCGCATTAAAGTAACACTGAGCCGTTTCCTACTCCTCCTACTGTGGAATTGCAAAAACAACCCTACAGCAGCCTGCTGTAGCTAGCGCCAACAACGAGCTAACACTATGAGCCAATTAATATCAAAATAAACCACAAAGTAAAAGGATTCCACACGGTTGGACTAAAAATGTCATTATCTACAATTCCAGTAGCAATAAAAGTACGTCATCATCAGTCTGTGATTTTGTAGCCTCCTTTAGCTCCTTCAAAGGAGTGTTGCGCCTACGTTCACTCTGGTTTGAGCTCTTTGCTTCACCTACAAAGGCTTACTCTCTTACTTTTACTTCCAGGCTCCACCATGAAGTGAACAGAAAAGACAAACTTCTTCTTTTTCTTCTTCTTGTACTTTTTATTGCAATTAGCAAACAGAAAATGCTAAGCGCTAGCATAATACGTAACAGCCATAAAGCATGTAAAGTGCACCCCCTAGAACACCTACCCACTCCACAAAGCTATCTAGTGTGCATTTTGGTCAGCAGAGGGCTGCAGAGTGGTTTCAAATATGAAACTGGTCAAGTTCATTACCAACAGTCTCTGAGATCAATGTTGGCCTGCTGGTTGTGCAGCGCAGCAGGCTAAAGACCAAAGGTGACAGAACATTTGCTGCGGTGGCCCCCAGACTCTGGAACTCTCTCCCTTGATCCTGAGATCAGTGGACTCGGTGGTCTCCTTTAAAAAACAGCCGAAAACTCACCTGTTCAAGCTGGCTTAGGTGTGACCTTCATCACCACCCTCGTTATTCTTCTCTTTCTACCAACTCTGTCCATCCCAGGATCCACTGATTTCCCTCCTACCTATTCATTTTCCCTTTCTTTACATTTCTTAATTACATTTTTTCCCCTGTTTTAACCGTATTTTAAAAATCTTTTTCTTTTTAATTTTTTTCTATAAAATTTTTTGGTCTTGCGAAAATGTATTCTTCCAATTGTTGGAAGCAGACCGTATCTATCATGTGTTCTAAAGTCAAATTGAAACAACGAATCTTCACTGGGAATGCAATGGGAGTTAGTTAAACATATACCAGTTTTCAGATTTCTGAGCACCACTGTGATATTTAAATCAGAGATAAAATTATGTTTTACTGGATTTTCGAGGTAAGATGTTCCAAGGATTGCTGCTGTTGGAGACTAAAGACTGAGTTTCAAAAGATCAAAGAACCAAAGGGTTTTTATATTTGAGCTCATATAAAGAAATGACCCTTAAATTCTAATCGTATCTTTGTTTTTCCTTTGGGGTTTCAGGACAGAGTCTTGGCTACGGTTTTGTGAACTACATCGACCCAAAGGATGCAGAGAAAGCCATCAACACATTAAACGGACTCAGACTTCAGACAAAAACAATCAAGGTAATAAACATGGCATTTACCCTCCAAAATAAACAACTTGATAAAAATATCCTATTTCAAAATGTTACAGGGATGGTCTCTAAATTACAACGCTGGGTTTTGCTGTCTGGGGTGGCTTTTGGATAGAGATGCTGTTATAGAACATGCCGGCGGGCAAGATTAGATTAACGTGCATGAGCCACAGGAATAAAAAAGACCATCAAAATCAAACAGACACATTAAACAGCTTGAGACTGTGGCTGATATGCTAATTACATCTCTAAATGTCAAAACGTAAAGGTAAAATTATATACATATTACTGACTGGAAAGCAGGAAACATATCAGTCTTTCAGTTCCCACAAATTATTGAGGCCTCTGGTGTTTCTCTTAGTATTATTGAGTGCTTCATTATTTAAACAGCATGACTAATGGAAAGGATTAGCTGTTGTTAGTGAGGTAGGATGGCTACACCAACGCCAGTGCTGCACTGTCCTTTATCCTAAACCATGATGTTTAATTTGCAGATGTTTTGACAGCAACGTTTGTCTTAATGAATATCTAACGTCCACATCTCCTATTCAGGCTGTCCTCTCTGCGGATGTGTTGCTGTTAAGCTGGGGTGTAATCTGTTGCTCTTTGGCCATCCCTAGATTCTCGCTTTATGTCATCCAGCTTAATCTGATCTAGTCCAGTCTAATGTAATCTAATAGGATGGGATTATCTTGTTTGCATGCCGTCAATCTTACAGGGAATCCCTGCATTCCCTGGAGGGCAAACTGGTCTTTATTCAGCTGGTTATTCCATCTCCAGAGGAATAAAGTGGTCAAATGGTTCAAGTTTGTTAAGGGGAGGTGTGTAATAGTCAAATGATACACATTGCTAGCATAGATGAACTAGAAAGGGTCTGGATCAGATTCAAAGAACACTGATGCTGATTTTCTAGAAAATACAGTGACATTAGCACCTAGGGAGCCTGGGTCTCCTCCCTTATTGGCCGGCTCATGGCAAGACAAGGCGAGGCAGCTTTATTTATAGAGCACATGTCAAACACGGAGGTAATTTAGTGTGCTTTACAATCATCAGGACATGACATGAAAACAACATAAAAACACAAATCAAAATACAAATAGATAGAATTATAGTTAGAGCTAAAGGAGAAGACAGAGTTACAGCGCAGATTGCTGGAGACAAAGCAAGATAAGAGACAATGCTTTTAAAATGCTGATGAGTGCATTAGGGTTTTTAGTTTTGATTTTAACAATACTAGGGTTGGGGCACATCTGAGGTCATGGGGACGCTGATTCCATATGTGAGCAGCATAGTAACTATAAGCATCTCCACCTTGTTTGGTTCTGACCCATGGCTCTACCAGCTGATTGTTTTCAAGGGATCTCAGAGCCCTATTGGTGTATATACAGAGATGAGATCAGACATGTATTTTGGTCCCACGCCATTGAGTGATTTATAAACTAGTAGGAGCACTTTGAAATCTATTCTGTTGTTCAAAGGTGACCAGTGTAGGGATCTAAGAACAGGAGTGATGTGCTCCGTTCTCTTAGTTCTTGTTAAGACTCTAGCAGCAACATTCTGAACAAGCTGCAGTTGCTTCACAGCTTTTATGGAAAGACCAGTTAGGAGACAATTGCAGTATTCCAGCCGACTAGAAATAAAAGCATGAATAAGTTTCTCCAAGTCTGGTCTGGACATGAGACCTCTAACTCTTGAAATCTGATGAAGGTGATAAAACGCTGATTTAGTTATAGCCTTGATATGTCCAGAGAAGCTCAGGTCGGAGTCAATGATAACACCAAGATTTCTAATCTGGGTTTTTGTCTTTATTCCCCTGGAGTCTAGCTGAGCAATAACATCCATTCTATCCTTCTTGTTGCCAAAGACAATAACTTCAGTCTTGTCTTTGTTTAACTGAAGGACGTTTGACTGCATCCAGTCATTTACTTGTTCTAGGCACTGACAGAGTGAGACAAGTGGTTGACAGTCACTAGGTGATAAGGCTAGATATATCTGGGTGTCATCAGCATAGCCATGATAGGCTATGTTGTCATTAAGTATGACCTGACCCAGGGAGAATATATAGATTAAAGAGTAGTGGTCCTAGAATTTAGCCATGGGGGACCCCACACGTCATGGTGATCCGCTTTGATTGGTAATCCCTAATACAGACAACATAGTCTCTGTCTTTGAGATATGATTTGAACCAGCCAATATTGGATGGGAAGAGCAAAAAATTAACGCAAGTCAATGTCTCTAAAAGAGTCAATGTATCCAAAAGAGCTATTTTCTAGTCTGCTTTGCCTTACCCCCTGAATCACACATGTTGTACATCAATTTAAATGAAAAGTAATGTTGTCTGTTTCGAACCACGCCTTGTCACTCTACTTGTACATATATTTATCAGCTTGTAAATGTTCGTAATTAGCATGATTTGTCAGGGTCAGAGTATCGACCAGCCGGATCCAACAACCACACTACAGAGAACGTTTTTAAATGTTTATTTGAGGACTTGGTACAGCGAACTGGACCCGCTGGAGTCGGTTTCGGGCAGCCTGGCCTGGGAGACAGAAAACAGTCAGCGAGGGAGATGATTCAGGTGACTTATTAGAAGAGTAGTCCGTGGTCAGGCAGGCAGAGGTCGTGCAATAGAAGGGCAGACAGGTTCAAACGCTCAACAGACTGTGACAAGGCAGCAGACGATCTCACACCGAGCAGCAGGAGCCAGGTGCTTAAATAGGGAGCAGCACAGGTGGAATTAATCAGCTTAGATTACTGCTGCTGCAGGGTGACAGGTAAACACAGACATCAGGGCATGATCATGACATGATTACAAACAGACAACATGTTGCATATATGACATCACCACACAATCTCCTCTCCTCTAGTGTAGCTGCTACTTACTACATGGTCAGATTTATGGTGGTTCTTTCCTCCTGAAGGTAAAAAACGATTCCCCCGGTTCAAAAATAAGCAGTTCTTGGTATCAAAATGCGTATTTAAAATTCACGAATATGATCTGTGAAATCCATGGCACTTAACACGTGGAAATATAAGTTTTTAGCCCAAATGACTTGCATTCATTTCTTTGTTCTTCAGAGGACCCATGGTCCGGAAGTAGATGGGCGTGACTTAGGCTCCCTATTGTCAAATTAGCGTTCATGGACGCACCCATCATGTCTTAAGACGGGGAACGCTGTTGTTGGTTTAGCGTCCAGGAAACAACAGAAAACGGCTCGGCTAGTAGAAGCCAATTGTTAGCATTAGCAACTACACAAAATGGCAGAACTCCTCCAGGCTTGGGTTATTTGTGGAGATAAAACATCAACATTGCAAAGCAAACAAAGTTAATGGTTATCCAGTCAGAGGTGAGATGTCCAAACATCAGGAACATTAATGAGTAAGACTCCTAATCCTTCCGTTTTCTGCTCCCCTCTCTTCCACTTCCTGAAACAAGAGCACCAGAGCTTTCTTTTTTCCTACAGAGAAGGACTCAAGCTATTTATTAGACCACCACAGATTTATGAAATAAAATGCATGTAAAATTCCTCCTGTGGTCAGAAAGGTCAAGAGGAGCTCATAAACAAAGATGTGCATTACCCAAGTATCGGGAATGCAACAGTGTTTAGCGTCAAACTGCAGAACTGAGTGAGAAAAGATTTTGTCAGTGGCTAAAAATGGAAGTTTGAAGTTGTTTACACAGTGTAGCAGTCAGTTTCTTTTTCACACCCATGATGCAAGAGCTTGCCTCAAGTTGTTTGTGAGATAAAGGAGGTCTTTGTCATGACAGAAGACAACACTACATCACTCTTTTACACTTAATTTTCTTCCTCCCACTACTCCCTTTCCCCTGCTCTCTCTCTCTCTCTCTCTCTCTCTCTCTCTCTCTCTCTCTCTCTCTCCACACAACAGACCGAACCCCCCTGAAGGCAACAAGGTTAATTAAAAGCAGCACAGTAATTCTAAAATTAAGTTTTGTCATTCTTCATGTCACACCCTTCCCACTCTCTGCCAGTACACTTGTGAGGAAACGCTTCGGCTGGAGATTCACGTTTTCCCAGGCGACGTGTCTTTTCCAAAGTGTCTTTGACTTGTTTCTGCTGGTAAAGTTTTCTCCGTCGTGACACCTCCGATTTTTGTCAGTGGTGTGCAGCGGTGCTTCTTTCCTGCTGAGGTGTGAGGGGAAGCAGTGTGCAAAAAGGTGCGAGGAGCTCGCAGTGACAAATATGCACACAATATGAGACACATTTATCCAGCGCGTGCTTGTGATTACTTTATGATTTCTTTAATCTTCACACTTAGTTTTACTAACTTTTCCTGCACACGAGCACACACTCCTGTTTCACACATGCTTCACACCGCACAATACTGCTCACAGCTTGAGGAGGTGTTGATGGATTAGACATCTGCAGTTGGCTGACAAGGAGAGAAAATGAGGGAGAGCTGTACAGCAAAGAAAAGAGGAAACGCAGGGAGGGAAAAAATAAGCACAGTCTGGAAAAGGTTTAGTGAGGCAGCATGCAGGAAGGAAGCAGAGAAAATATAACCAGGCAGCAAAAAGGGGCAAGCTACGGGGAGGAAGGAGGAGACGGAGGCGCCGAGCAGAAGAGGAAAATGTGTGAAAGAGAAGTGAGACTTGGGGCGATCCAGTTGTTCCCAATCCCATTCTCTCACAGGCGGGATTTCCATGCTGTTGCTCAAGGATATGGCTGCATATCCACCATATATTTGCTTGACTTTAACCCTATTTGATGACTTATGTCTCTGCTTGTCAGAGGTAATGAAAGCACTCAGAGGGAAAGCTGCTTCAGTCAGCAGCTGTAGTAATGGGATTTACACGATTCCACTGCTGCAAAAGTGAGTGTACGATTGAAGGTGTAGGGGAATTTCACTAGCAGCACGGAAAATCACTTCCTGCCGAGAGACTACGCCCATGCGTGGAGTCGTTTTAGTGGAAAAAGGAAGCACCTCTGCCATAAAGTGTATATAGTTTCAAAAGAACAACAAAATAACTTTCTTCCCGTTTTGTTTTCAGCATGTTTTCCCTCTCAGCAGTGCAGAGTGTGAGTGAAGTGACTCTTTTGTCTTAATTGTGAGCCATCTATTCAAAGTGAAACAACCTTTGGATTTTCCTCGGGGGAAACTTTTCTATACTTCCCCCAGCAAACAACCGACTGAGGCATGAAGTGTTATCTCTCTGGGGTTCTAAGCAGCTAAATCTTTTCCTAACAATGATAATCCCCACGGCAAAGAAGAAAAATACAGTCTCATTTTCCTCCCTGTGGATCCAATGATTCACACCCTTTCCTACTAAGAACACACACACACATGCACACACACAAGTCAAATCATTAATTGTTTTAATATTTTAACTTTCTTGTGTCGAGAGCCTTACAAACCTTGGTGTGTGTTCTTCAGGTGTCATATGCACGACCCAGCTCAGCCTCCATCCGTGATGCTAACCTGTACGTCAGCGGCCTGCCGAAGACCATGACCCAGAAGGAACTGGAGCAGCTCTTCTCTCAGTACGGACGCATCATCACCTCCCGTATCCTCGTCGACCAGGTCACAGGTATCCATGGGGCAGCGCCTGCTTTACCCTAACACCCTGACTCTGTCACATGACTAATCAGATAGCTCGAGTTAACTATGGTTCTCAGTAATCAGACAATTGACGAGACAGGTCCATTTGCAAAAATAGCCGTGTTTCCAGCAAATGCCCGTTCGCATTATTTGGAATCGTACGATGTCCAAGGAAGGTCCCGCCTTTCTTGCCTCTGATTGGACTTGAAGGGCTCTACTACGATTGGCTATTTCATTTAGTAGCAAACCGTCTTTCCTCGCTAAGTGCACACCGTCCTCCTGCCACCAGTAGAACAGCTGTATCGGGGAGTTTTGTAAAGGAAATGTGAACTTGGCGCTATAGAAGCCATTCTTTCCTGTTTTGCAAAATAGTTTTTTTCTGTTTCTTTTATTTAAAAACCCTGAAAAACATAAAATGTGAACTTATAATAAATGTTGGTAACTCCAGTGCTTGAGAGCAAACAGATATAAAATCAGTCTAGCAGAGTGAAAAAAAAAAGATTTATTACAAGTACATATTTGACGTTTTTCAGGTTCTTTCATGAAAGAAAGTTAAACTGAAATGTTGGAAAGCAGGACAGACTGGCTATTATTACACTTTTACAAAAAAATATTCAGGATCTGGCTGCAGACATAAAAACCCTGCAGCAAGAGAAAACAGCTTGCTGTTACATGAAATAGCCAATCGTCGGAGAACCCTTCCAGCCAATCAGAGGCCAGAAAGGTGCAACCTTCTTTGGACATCCTACGATTGATTCCAAATTACACAGCCAGTTCATGACTTTGCGACCATCTGGGCAATGAGTGATGTCACTGATCTGCGCCAAAAGACATCCACGGACATTAACATCATTAAAAGTTTTATTCTGTTAAAGCACATGAGAGACATAAAAAGCTGTATCCAATTACCAGAAGAAGCTCCATTTTTTTTACTCTGTGAGAAAACAAAATGCAGAGAATTGTGGCATTGCAGGGGATTTCCAGCACATCTTTCAGCTTTGTTAGTTGAGAAACTGTGATTTTAAAGCAGTGTTAATGCTTCTATCATTCCTTTCTGCCTCACCGACTACTTGTCCAGCTTTACAAATGTCGGGTGTTTGGAAATGGTTGCTGAGTTACAACCAATCAGCGTGAGGTCACCAACTGTCACACTCAGCAGCTCTACTGGGCATTTCTTAGTAAATACCCCAGGTATGCTGGTTCCTGAAACTGGCCCGGGAAATGGCCCTTTTTGGGCCACCCTGCTGAAATAGAGACATGCGCATCTCACATAGGCCCGGTAAAATCATCTGGAAGCTCCGTTAGTGGAACCTGGCCTCATTTTCCACTTCCATACTTTTGTTTGTTTCTTTAAAATAACAAAAAACTTTCATTCTTTAATTTTTGAGTGAAGTCAGGTGAAATGTTTTGAAATTAACTTTGTCTAAATGACTGAAATGCTGTAAAATAAATGTAACGTTTACTTCTAAATCGTTTCCTTCCAGCTCAAAGTGCCATTTTCTTATCTGCCCAGATTTTATAAATATTGATGGTCCAGGTGCCGGTCTGCTCTGAAATATAATGAAACTATTACGTTGCACAAAGCATCAAAGAAATGAAGCAAACAAAGCAAATATCTTGTTTCTTAAAATCTTTGTGCAGCTTGAATCAGACAATGAGACTAACTAGCTAAAACTGTTCATTATATCGCTAAAAATTTTAGTGTCCTGAGCTGATTAGTAACAACACAGTAATTAAATACTATTTATCAATATTGTTTTTATTTTTAAGATAAGAATTACAGCTAAGTAGTCTCTCAGTATTCTTTTAACCAGTGAGGACAATGGTCCTGTCGATTAAGCCGCCAGGTCTCAGTAACCTTCTCCACTCACGTTCTGGCTCGCAGAGTTCCTGGATTGATAAATCCAGGGAAGTGTCTGATCATTTATCCAATCATTGGCACGTGATAAAGTCAGTGTCACCTGGGATGCTCAAGTCCTGTACAGACGGTATTATGGAGTCTCTTTCCAACAAAGGCACTCTGCTTCCGGTGGCATTTGCTAGTTCTGGCAACAACAGCATGTATTTTCCAGCCACTCTGGGTGTGGGTGCAGGTGCTGCAGCAACATCCTCGTTTTCCTACCTGTTACGGTTTTGATTCTTCCCATCTTAAGCTGAAGCGTGGTGAATCACAGCTTCAGCTGTCTTCCATGTGTTCCCTCCTTTCTGCTTTATGGAAATGTAACTCTCCAACTATTGAGTTAAAGATTAACGTTGAGTTTTCCATTGAACTATCTGTCCATATGGAGCACGCCTCTTGGTTTCATTCCTTCCCTCCCTAGTGTCCTCTACACACCAGACAAAGTGACCTCAACAGGCAGTTTAATAAAGCGTGGAGAACACAATGATTACATGCGAGGCCCAAAATGAACACACTTATTTACACATGTTGCATTACATTTATAATTCCCAGCTGAATCACATCAGCCTGTTGTACAGCACAGGAACCCCTCCAGCATGACTCAGATCCATTTCAGTGGATGTGTGTTTGCCCACAGGCTCCAACCTGCTCCAGCATTATGTGCAGTGTGTACTGATGAAGCAGAAAAAAGGAGTAATGCACTGTAAGCCACGCTCATTTGCCTAAGCAGTATAAATCACCGCTGGCAATGAAGTGCACGCCCGTCTCCACAGACTGAGCAGACGAAGCAAGTGGGGAAAAGGAGATGAAAGAAAAAAAAAGGAAACTTGAGAGCATGTAGATGACCAAAGATGTGGGAGGAAAAGGAAATGAAGGGAGGGAGGATGCAAACTAATTGCTGAGGAGGGTAGAGGCTGTAGAAGGGGAGAGGAAAACACCCTCAGAAACATTTTTTTAACAAGTCTTCATAAAACCATGCTTATTGCTGTGTACCTTTGCTATAGACGTTTAAATCTCTGATATCTGGCTTGGAGAATCAAATAACGGTCTAAAAACAGCTGAGCCCAGATTGTTCTGACTCATCTAAAATGTCACAATGTATATGTATGACCAATCAGAAGCAAAATAAATCCTCTGTTCTCTGGAAATAGCAACTCATATGTCTTGGTTAAAGGTGTGGAACACTGAAAAAACCTTTTTAATTATTGTTTCTGATTATAATCGGTCACTCTGAGTTTTTTGTGCAGACTGAACATGAACATAGTCTCCCACACCATCTCCAGCATTAGCTTCAGACAGATATTAGACTCTAGGATTTAAAAACCCTGACAGATCTCTATTATGCTGTCACTTAGCATTCATGGACTCACCCGTCGTGACTCTCGACAGTGAAGATTGTTGTTGGTGTAGAGTTAAGGAACCTGCAGAGATCGTCTGGACTTGTAAAAGCTAATTGTTAGCGTTAGCAATTCCACAACATGGTAGAACTCCTCCAGGTTTGTTTTATTTGTGAAGATAAAACATCAACGTTGCAGAGTAAACGGACTCAGTCATGTTGCTGTTAGCCAATCAGAGCTGAGACCTCCAAATATCAGGAAATAAGACTCCAAATCCAGTCGCCTGAAGCTCAACTCTGATGTGGCTCACTTCTAGTCACGCCCCACCCCCGAGTACGGCTGACAAAGAATTTATTTCTACTAGAGACCACTGCAAATGTATATATTAAACGAGTGATCCACACCTTTAAGATGCATTTTATCCACATTTATTCAATGTCCACCCAAAACCATCTCTTTGCCAACATAAAGAAAATCCTCTACTGCATCTTATGATCAGATCTCAAAGAAGCAAGATATTTTTCTTTAGGTTTTGTCTAGAATGTTTGCAGAAATCCAGTTATGGTAAAGTATAATAAAATAAACTGTAGAGTTTTACATGTCAGAACATCATTGAAAATGATCAGATCTTTTTCTAGATCCTAAAATTACTCCAATATAACCTTGAATAACCTAGATTCCAGCATTACTTTAGTTATTAAACAATAAGCTGAAAAGGAAAAGCTTTGAGAGATATATTAAAGGGGCATTATGGAAGTTTGACAAAAACATGTATAGAAATAATACATTTCTTCTTCATACATTCTCCTGCAATGCCCAGGTCCTGTAGAATGAGCCCTGGCATTTTTACTGTGATTGCCTATTTTTCTGTAAAATCACAGAAAAAGAGAGCTGCTTGGGTCGAGCAGGCTGCTTCATGCGCGTTCACGCTCAGGCATAGCCCTCTGAACCTTCTTAAATGGTACAGATACAAGTGACGTCACTGGCGTGTTAGCTTGCCTGGTAAGATGTTGGACTTTAGTGCAGAAGAACCGTGTTTGATTCTGGATGTGAATGTAGCTTATTTAGAGTTTCTTTTTTACATTAATGGTATATTTTTTTTACAGTAAGATGCCCACATTTTTATTTGAGACTCGCTGAACGGCATTGAATTCACAGATAAAAAAGATGTGGATTCAACTTTCATTTTGGAACAATTTTTCAAGAGCATGCAGGAGAACTGACCCATCTTAAACCTTTGTCGGCTGTGCTGAAGAGAAAGGTACAGAACCAAATTATTTAATTAACTAGCTGCGCGTTCTCCTGTCCTCTGTCCTCCGGGCCCTACACACACACACACACACACACACGGAGTTGACTGTCTCAGCTGTTATTTTCGTTAAGGAGTGTGCACGTACAGCATGCGCGCCTCGTGCACGAGCCTACTATTGAAGCTGCCATTACGCTTTTGGCCTGAGGGGGCAATCGCGAGCATACAAATTCAAAACTCCGTAAAGTCCCTTTAAGGTGCTGCTTATAAAATACATTTAATTAATCATCATCAGTGTGAAAAGCTCTGTGCAAAGTAAGAATTTTGAGTTTGCTGTTCTGGAGCATACAGATGTGTGTTACCACAATGTCAAAAAGCAAAGAACAGCCATCAGCATGAAGGTAGTGGGCTTATGAATTGGGTTAGCTTGAACTCCTCTGTAGACCAAAGTATTCTTGAGTCTACACCAGGCAGCCGCTGTTGAACCAAACTGGGGCATAAAAT